CGATATGATAATTTTGCCATATTGTGTAAGAAGCCCATCCGACAAACAGTAGCAGTTCCAAGTACAGGATTAGTTTCACACATTGTATTATTTCTTCACATATGTGGTGTGTGCTCACGGATTTCAAATATGTGAAACCTTTCTTGTCGGGAATTGAATTTCCATGTCCCTCCTCCACACTTATAAGCTTGTCTGTGATAAAAGAAATAAAGAGATTAAGTTGTAGTTTATGTGTTGCATTGAAAAAGATTGATGACAACGAATAAAAGTATCTCTAAATAGTCAAATATAATTAAATAATAACTGGTGGAGTAAAATCACTTTCAGAATCACTTGTCTTCTGCACACTCTCTTAACAAAGTTTTGATATACTAACGCTTAAATTCGCAATTTTTGGACGATATCTATGCACGTTATTAACATTCAATTCATTAAAAATGTATATTGATATGCTGAAATTAGAAAGAATGCACTAATACATGTTCGAACTTTGGCGTTTTTCCTTATAAACAGGAGAAGTTATTTCCTGGGATAATAACTATATGTGGAATATGCAACATGTTTATGTATAACACTAAGTGCAAGTACAAGTTCAAATTAACATTTATAAGAAGTTGAAATGGAATATTTCTCTCATTTATTAGAGTGTCACACAATAAATTATAATTTCAGTTAACCATGATCATATAAAAAGACTGCTGGATGGTTCAAAGTGATTTTTCCATAAATATTTCTATTTCCCAAAAAAATTTTTTTTGCAAATTATGAAACGAAGAATTAAAAAAACTACGCGAAGATTAATTAATTACGCATTGTAAAATTTACATGTGCACGCGCAATAAAAACAATAAATATGAAGAGAATAAACTTACCATTACTGATGCTCCACTGTTCCTTCATGATGAACGATCTGCCATAAACTAACTATTGAGGAAGAAAGAACATTAAATGGTAAACGCAAAAGTACAAATTAACCTCGACCTGGCAAAGTTTAGCATAAAGAGAAATAAAAGGTCGCATCAACGATAAAACTTAGTCTCCTACCACAAGTTTCATACTACGAGGAAGATGTCCATAGGTCAAGACATATCTCCTATAGGTCATCTACAATTTTATGCTTGTTGTGAATAAAGAAACCTGCTTTTGTTTTGCTAATTGTTTTGCTAACTGTTTTGTCGAATAAGCATTTCCTTAAATTATATATTCTCAATCACGATTCTAAAACAACGACATTTTTTATTAGATTTGAAACTAAAATGATTCTTTATTAATGTACGCACAAAGGAAACAAATTAAAGTTATATAACATATCATTTTGACGCAGAATGTGATATTACATTTTCGTGACGTTGCGCTGTAGGAATAAATTCATCTTCGCTTATTACGTAAAGTATGTTCCAGGAAAATATTGTGTACGTAGAATAATATTTGTAATTTTAATACTACGTATTTTGATAACTTCATAATATTGATAATGTTTTCAACATTGGAAACATTACTTGTATGTCATATTCAGTGATTTGTTTTCACTTTACATTTTCATTTTTACGTCTGTTTTCATTTTTATCGAGAAAGATATCGAATAAAAGTGTGTAGTATCGAATTAATCTTTGTCTAATGATCTTCTGATTAAAAAAATAGTTAGGGGATTTCCTTAATATTTTCGAAAATGATATTTTGTAAACAGTTTCAAAGAATGTCAAACAATCGTAATTCATACAAGACGATTTTCGTTTGGTAAATAAGCACCATTTGATTTAATAATTATAGATTATAGAGATAAAGATTACTGAAGACTCATGCTTTCTTTACAATTGGTATAATCGGGAATATTATCAGATAAGCTACGATTATAGACATATAAAACATTATACTACCTATATACATTCATATCAATCTTTCTCATATTATTTCATTATTAACCAATTATTAACAATAGCAATTTTCAAGCTTATAGAATCTTTAAAACACAGGATTTTGTGTATTTAAATCTCAAATCAGGAATTTAATAATTCGTGGAATATAGATTTACTACAAATACTCTTGTCCTAATTGATAAAATTATTATATTTTACGTGAAATTGTATGAAACACCTTTTTTTAAGGTGAAAAAAGAGAACAGTGATCGAAATGACTACGGAAAAATTGTTTTCTCAGATAATTTAATATTTTTTTGATAACAATGTAGGTGTACATTTTCTATCAGATACGATTAACTTGATAAAATTCGTCAACGATCGTCGTATCGGAAATTTGTACGTTTCAGTTAGAAGCAGATGTACTAAACATGTTGCGTATTTCAAATGTAGTGGTTTGTCTATTACTTTACTTAACATGTTTTTTACACAATGGTGAGAATTTTTCTAATTTTATATGTTACTTTGAAACGTGTATAACATATATTTGCTTACTTTATCTTATTAAATATATTTTTATTCTAAAACCGCAAAAGATTTTAGTCAATTTCTGTCAAAAGAACGTTCAATTTCGAGTGAACGTCAAGCTCATTTTCAGTATGAGTCTTTAATATTCAATGAGTTAATCGGATAGTGATTTGTGAAATAACTTTTCTTCATTAATAGTATTTAACAGCGCAGCGTGTTGTTTGTCATATATATCTTGTCTATTTTTTTGTCAAAGAAGATAAATTTTCCTTTGCACGCGTCTAGCTCAGAAATTATATCCATGCAATTATTACATGTGATTATGTAATTCGTGAAATGTGCGCATCAAATAAAGCTATACATACATCTTAATCCCTCACATTTTTGTCATATTGGTTTAAGAAATCATAGACAGTATTAACGGATTTTTTCAAAGTGCATCACGCAATATTATTTCAACATATTTTTATAACTATCATAAACATCTAAAAGTAAGTATGATCCTCAGTTACCGTCGATAATACATGATTTGGTTGCAACATTAATGTTTCACGATCGCGGTTCAACTCGCATGTAATTAGGAACTTATAATTCACGATTTTAGATTCGAACACACAGGATTGAAGCAAAAGAAACGTATTCTGCTGATAATGAAACATTATTAAGAGATCTTATTGATTGGAAATGTACTGCTACGTCTGCTTCTTCTGTAAATCGTAATAGTTGTATCAATGGTACATGTCAATGTGATTCAGACTATATTTTCGATGGAAGTTTTACAGTATGTATTACAGGTAAATTACGAAAAAATACCTATTTATGATGAAATGTCTATCATTACGTGTATAGTAACTCAATTAACTATAATAAATTAGTTTGTCATTTCTTTCAAATTTTGGAAATTGTCAATTTATGTCTTGTAGGACAATAGAATAATAAATAAAATAATCCAACTCGTTCTTTGTGTTTTCCGCTTGAGAAAAGTGTTTAATTTAAGTGTTACAATGACTAAAACAAGCATAAAACGTATAAGCAAATCACAGACTGGGGATCGGGAAAATACAATGATCTAATTAGCTTATTTTATCTTTGACGGTGTAAACAAATGACGGAGAAATTGGAATTCAATCAGGAATAAAACTTCAGATTTTTGTTCTCATCTTTTAACCTTTCTTTCAAAGGGCCGTTTGCAAAACTTCGATAAATCGATTTTCCATTAATCGATGTTGTAATAATCGAGCTTCTACTGTACTGTACGTTAGAACGAGCTTAGATAAAATATTCCGTTTAATCATAAAGTCATTATACGTCACCGAGCGTCGTTATTAAGTTGTTACGTTTATTTCTGCGATATTTATAGTTATCAGCGCGTATGGTGACGATTGCCACGAATCGATGCAGTGCTCTGCGTACTTATCGAGAGGTGGAATATGCAGAAATGGAATTTGCGTATGTGCTGAGGGATATTATTATATACATGGAAAATGTCGTGCATATTCAGGTATATCGTGCATTTCACAATATTATCTAGATAATAATATCGCAAACTTCTCACGAAATAAACTTTTACAGGATTACTCGAAAAATGCCAAGAAGACGGCGATTGCTATGTAAACGGCGATTTTCAAGCGACACGTTGCATAAATAACATTTGCAACTGTAGTCTTGGATATTATCAGCGAAAATATAGAACTTGTCGTCCAGATGCGAAAGGTAGGTTTTTCTGATTCTAAAATAATAACAACTGATAAAATATAATCATATCACATCAAAACACGTTTATACGTTCTAGTCTCATAAAGTAGGTTATTGTAAACTGATGATTTATCCTATTCTATATACATCTAATGTATACGAGACATTATTGCCCGTTTTTTACAGTATTATACAATATATGTAAGTATTAAACAGAAAATTTATCAATATGAGAAAGAATATATTTTGCAATTATTCAGTAGATCATTTTTCCAATCAGAGCAACAGAATAAAATAGTAATAGAGTATAATATAGTAACTTACAGATGAACGTAAGAATATAATATAGCGTGAGAAATTTGGAATAAGAACCTATCAATTTCCTTGTAAAAGTACAAATAAGATTATTATATTATATTATATTTTTCCAACCAGAGAAACATTCAATTCGTAACGTTGTTATAGAATTAAAAATTTTCTTTATACTTCACTTAATCAATACTTTTTCAATAATTTAAATAATCTTAATCTCTTTAATATAACTTTGATTCAAATGTTCATGTTTCTCGTCATAATCACTGTTAATAACAACAATTTTTATTTTTATATTTATATTGCATAGTGCATGGCAAAAGGTGTATCATAAATAACGATTGCAAAGGATGGATCAACAGTACGTGTGACAACTATATATGTGATACTTCGCAGACACATATAAGACATATCGCAAGACTCTTATATAATGATAATATTGAAAAAAAAAATACAATCAAGAAAGGTTTGTAAGTACATTTTTTATTAATATGAGAGTACTTTCATTCATTAATATGGGAATTAAAATGACAACGACAAGAATTTAAAGTTTAAAGTGTACATTTTTTATCTTAAACAGAATACAACATTGAAAAGAAATGTACAAAGGATGCGGACTGTAAATTTGTAGATGTAATCGTGCAAATCTCTTTAACACAACTAAAGAGAGAAATGTATTCCAGGTAAAATTATTCACATGTTTTTATCCATTAAAACTTTAATGAAAAATTAATGGCTACTACAGTTGAATTAAATGTGGAACATGTCCGAACAAACAATAAACACTGCTTGAAAGTTAAATATCATAAAAAAAGATTTATATATATTTGTTAAAATGTTCTATCCGCCAAATTCACTTTTCTATTTTTATTTTTTTATTTTTGTACTATTTTTTAGTACAGATGAGCCGCTGATAGAGTTAATATCAAAGAAGATTGGAAATGTTCCAAGAGACTTATAACTATGTATTTTATCATTACAAATTTTTCTGAAATGTCTTCTTTGCTTAAACAATGATGAAAACAGACATTTCTTAACGCAAACTATTCTGGTAGAACTTGGAGAACCATGTGAAACTGGAGCAAATGAAATTCGAATCGAAGGTTCGGAATGTCGAAACACATGGTATTGTAAACTGGAGAAAGTTGCTTCTAAACATAATAGAAAATGTGAAACAGGTAAGTGATAGATCCAAAAATTTTCACACAAAATTCTATTCAAAACGAGTATTATTATTATAAACAATTAACATTCTTTTCTATTCATTGTAGTAACTGTACAATGAAACGAGAAATCTCGGCTTAACGAGACTGAGTTCTTTTGTTGGACAAAAAGAGGGATAGGTGAATCGTGTCACCAAAACGTAGATTGTTATATTGTTGGTATCGATACCAAGTTATTTTGCGATGCAAGGAAGTTATGCTCCTGCCCAACTCATGCAACTAATAACAAGACAACTTGGATGAAAGATATAATTGGTACGATACGTTTTAAGTTATGTGTATAATGGCTCACGAATATATTTGAACAGTCAGAAACCTCTTGAGGATATGTTATGTATGTTATACAAAACATTTTGAACTTTTATTACTACTTTAAGAAGATAAGACTGTGATGATTATATTAATAAAATTTGAAAGAAATTTGTAAATGTATACGAAGGCTACAAGATATTTAGTGCAAATATACATTGCACAAAGAAGAGGTATTTAAATTATTACTCATTGTATCAATTAGCCTCGATATTCAGTGGAACCATTATGAATGCTTATATTAATGCTTATATTAAGGCTGTCCATATTATATACTAATTTTTTATTTAATATATATTTAGAGTAAATACGTAACTTTTATATATGCATTTTCAGATTGGTTTAAAATTTTGTCAATATAACCATGATATCGTGTTTCACTACAGCTGCAATGAAATTCCAAAATGTTTTATACAAGACACGCAGACAATATGATAAGTGTCCAAATATATTCATGAGCCACTGTACATAAAACAGACTATTATAATGAGCTATTTGTAATATGCAGCTTTTTATACGTTGAAACTAAAAATCATCGCGCAGTAATAGATTGTACAGTTTTTGTAAACATTGATATTATATACAATTTAATTCCAGATCTTAGAGATATTTGTGAAGCAGATAACGATTGTAGAAAACGGATCAAGAATGCAAAATGTATAGGCAAAGATACAAAGAAGTCAGAAATTTTATTAAAATTATATTTCTTCCAGGTCTCAATTCCAGTTGCATTTCCAATGCTAGTTGTGTACCAAAAGATTCAATATGCAAATCGAATGATTTCATTTATAAGGAACAGTACATTGCTAAATCAGTCGACACGTGTGTTCAAGGTAAGAACCCTCTTTAAAACATGCATCAAAATGTAACATAAGTCGTTTATTGAAAAAATTATCATATTTGATGGAAATTCATCGTTTTGAATACAAAAGCTAGATTTTCTTTTACATCGCTTCAGATACATAGAATAATACATATGTATGTAACTGCAAATGTTTACGCGAATTCATATTTTTATGTGTCTATATAATTAAAAGAGCAGAATCTAAATGGAGATTTGTTTCACCTACTAAATATTATGACTACTTTGCTTTCGTTATTCTGTGCATTCTGTACATTTTTGCACTTTTCAATTTCTCATAAATGCACAAACATCCGCAAGTCTATAAAGAACGTAACGTAATAACAAGAAATGCAATTATATCCTTTTAGCCCTTTCGTATGGAAAACCTTGTGATAAAAATATTCAGTGTTCTGCTGTGACATCAAACGCAGTTTGTTTACCTCATCCAACTTCAAACTCGAGTTCCGTATGCGTTTGTCCTAAAGGTTACCATTACAAGTTCAAGAAATGTTTCAAACGCAAAGGTACGAAAATAAATACATATGTGCTGCGTAAAATTTCATGGCTCGTTAATTAACCCGTTGACAAGGAAAGGCGAATTAATGTTCACAAATACATTCCCTTAATTAGGATTTTGTCGCGTCAATCCAAACATTTTTTTTTTCTTTATTATATTCGCGAGTAACAATTCGACACCCGTGATTTATATATTTTCTCTTCGTAATGTGACAAATAATAGATCACAAAGAAATTTTGCATATAATAAAAAGCCAAAATTTAATCTCATTCAAATTATTTCTTGCAAAGCTCCTTACAATTATTAAGTTCAATTATCTTTTTTCGTTGACAATCGAAGATATAACGTTGTTTTTGGACTAATTTTTATCAGACAAACATTAATAATCGACTGGTAATAATTTCATGACAGTTCATATTTCCATTGCCGGATGATTTATTAAATGCCAGAAATTATCACGTTCATTTCATGGATTTATTGCGAAATTCGAATATTATTCGCTTCTTTTTTTATCTCTCATTCGAGATGTAATATCGTCATATTTTGCCATTACATATCTAGGAATTGCTAGCTCATGATATCTTACATCTACGTAATAAAAAATGCGCAAGAGTAAATAGGAAAATGACGAATTTGCGATGGTAGTCGTACAATTATCTAGAACCAGTTGAATAAGACGTACATCGAACAAACAAGTTGAAAATGACATTGGACATCTAACAATTCTCTGAAAATTGTGTAGTGTTTGCGTTTAAAGGAAGCTTAAATGCACGATATTTAAACAGATTTTCTTTCTTCAGCTAGTTGCATGTAAATTAATAAAAATACTTTTGTATATAAAAATTCTTCCAGTTCTTGGTATGAACTGCGAGAATCTCGGAGAATGTTATCTGAATTCCGGGGTTGGAGCGTTCCGCAGGAACAATCAGAGCGCATGCGACTGGAATTACATTCAACGAAATGACACTGTGTGCGACTTCAACAGTAAGTAACCTTGACTTGTGACCGATTGGAAGGTTTCCTTGCATTTGATTCCCGACGATACAAAAGAAACAGGGCGTTGAAGCTTTAACCGGTAGTTTTTTGGATTGCACGTGGAACACTACTATGCGGTAAAATAATATAACTAGGTAGCAATTACCTTTCGACTGCTCGCATGCTTTCTTGCAAATAAGTTGCGTTGCAATTTTTGCGATTGTAGAGGGCGATAAGACGTATTGGCAAGACTACGTAACCCATCTGAAACGAATCTTTTCGCACAAAAACAAGAAATAATAATATTCCTTGGAACTGCATATGTTTTCGTGCTTGCCACATTTTCATTTTTATATTTCTTTTTTACTTCTGTATTTTTGTCCCTTATCTTTTAGTTCTTGGCAGCAGTTGAGCACGTAACAATGTAGAACACATATAACAATATTATTATCTACCTTCCATGCTATTCATTTATTTATTCTAATATTAATAGGCTTAAAAATGTGTAATAAAAACTTCGTGAACTAGTCAGTTGTACGAAGACCAAGAATTTATCTGCGATATATATTCATTTTTTTAAAGCACATTGCTACACTACTTTTAATCATATTATTTCGTATCTTGAAATATGGTGTCAAGAAATGTTGATTATTAATTTTAAAAAAGTTGATATTGAAGAAACTGAAACTTTTTGTATTAGTTACATCTTTTTAAATTAATATGTCTGTTCTAAGCGTTTTATCGTAGCAGTTATAATGAGCAAAAAACTATTTTTCGTCTACTTATTAGCTTCGCATAGTAAAGTTACTCTTTGCAAAGTATTACTTATAATATATTATATTAATGTATGTGATTTTTTCAGGTAGCAATATTACAACCAGTATTATAGGACTGATCTCACTATCACTCCTACTAACAAACATGTTAATTTAATTCAAAGTTAATAAACACGATTAGTTACAAATATTGTGCCAAAAGTATAAACAGTAAATTATCTTCTTTTGGATTAAGTATTTCATAAATAATATAATAAAATACTACGAAGCTGTGTATTTATATTCGATAATAATATTATTGTAAAAAACATACATTTCTACTATATAACTTATATATTAGGTTGTGCGAAAAGTCTCTTTCGTTTCATAAGGTGACAATAGATGAACAACAATTTCTGTTTTATGTTATTTTATTGAATTAGGTATGATTCATTTCGTTCTATTTCTATTATTATGTTCGTGCATAATTCAATAAACTAATATAAAACAAAAAACATTGAACGTCTATTATTTCCTTATAAAACGAAAGAAACTTTTCGGACAACCTAATATATAATTATACAATATAAATATACAATATAACATATATATGTAATATACAGGTTGGTTGGTAACTGGTGGTACAAGCGTAAAGGGGGTGATTCTACGCGAAAAAAGAAGTCGAAAATATAGAATAAAAATTTTTCATTTGAGGCTTTGTTTTCGAGAAAATCGACTTTGAATTTTCGCTCGGTACGCGTGCACTTTATCACGTCTCATTATAACGGATCTCACTGTAGATTTTTAAAAAAATTAAAAAAAAATTTTATTCTATATTTTCGACTTCTTTTTTTCGCGTAGAATCACCCCTTTCCGCTTGTACCACCAATTACCAACCACCCTGTATATATATTATATATTATATTTGTATTGTATAATAAATCTTTCTCAAAGTTTGTTAGTAGAGTTTGCCTATTTCTAAACTTATAACTACTAGTTAAAGAAACCTTAACTTGCCCCTAATGAATACACATTATTAAAATAACTCAAGTCATAAAATATTATGCAATTTCTTCTAACTTCAACATTTTCAATATAGAAACCAAAGCCTATCATTACCGTAAAGCTAACGATAAATAGAGTAATATGTTTTGTATTATCCACGACATAATTTTTTTCTTCTCGTGACAACGATATAACAAGTAATTCGTTGGCCCAGTTGGTAATATCACCACGAAATATAACAATCACTCTTATCGTTAACACCTTAATATTAGTTCCTGATAAATGTGTTATCAACATTGAGATATAACGAGAAAGATTTTATATAACGCAAACATCGTTTTCAATAATTAATCTACTGTTCCAGAACGCAATATCAGTTTTATTAGTCAGTCAAGTTCATCTCTTGAACTGACTAATGATTCAGAGAAAAACATCTGCATTCTACAGGGAGTTCTCTAATATGGTCACATGGTGGTACCGAATAATCAAGATCGGATAATATGGCATACACTTGGAAAAGAAAATTAATTTACATAAATGTTCAATTTTAATTTTCAATCAATGTTCGGATATGTATATCAGAATCTCTGGTAACAATGTTGATAAAAGTTATCGGAGATATTAGACCAGATATTTCAACAATCTTCTAACGTAAACTTTTTTCATATTTCTACTAAAGATTGATAAATCGATAAAGTAATAGGTGTAATCCCGCCCTCACGATCTATAAATACATTTACATATTTATATATATACTTATATTTACATATATTATTAATTACGAGAGTTATATACCGAGTTGCCGCATAATTATCTTTAACGCGTAATATTTAGCGACCTTAGTTATTGACGATCATACATCACCAATGCAACTAGTGGAATAGATGTATTGATCTTTGGAACACAGCAGATTGTGTGCTGACGGTACGTGACGATTACCATATCCTGATACGTAGAACTTGTTATCATATACGATAACCTCTGCTTTAATGAACAATAATAATCTTTATCGAGTGTGATAGCATTCTTATAAACTTCCGTCATTTCCTATGGAAAGCTCTATACAAATAAATGATCGCATATTGAAGTAGATAATTGCGAATCACAAAAACCATTTATTATATCAAAATAGAATTTTTTAATGATTCGAACTGTATTGATATTATTGTATCGATGATATTTCCCACTTTATAGTATTAATGTTCTCTCATCTATTTATTTAATAACTTATAAAGATAAGATTAAAGAAAATACAAGTTCTGAAGTAGATGCAAAAATCCACTTTTTAAAAATTCAAAAACATACAAATTTCTCAATCGTGAAAATCCTACGGAATTTTAAACTCTCATCGTATTTTGAAGATATTCGTACAATTTATTATAAGAGTATTGTACGGAGAATATGCCGTGATAAAACAATAAACGGAAAAATAAATGAAACGACTACGTTGGTTGCCACATTTCTTAACCATCCTTTTATCCAACAATTGACGTACATGAAACTGATTTGAATAGAGCTATATCCGACCATCGAGATCAGTTTGAGAAAATTTGGCGTTCAAGAGCTCAATAGCTGATTCTAGGATAGATAGAATGGTGCGCACGCGATTATGGAACTATACCACAAATCTGGTGGCTATTTTCATTGGTAGAGCAATGCTCTTAGGGGAAACCTCGGATGACGTTTTGCCTAACTCGGATGCGTGATAACGATGACGTCACGAAAAAGAGAGGTCAAGGCATATTTCTTAAATATAGATCCGTTCTGCGACTGACCTCCCATATCGCCTTCTGCCTGCTTGTAAACCTAAACTCAATGATACACTTGTAAAAGAATATACATTAAAACGTGTAATAAACTTTATCACACAATGATTGTTTAATAGCTGCAACGCGTTGTTTAGGTAAGTATTATGATATGTAGGTGTTATATTGATAGTAACCAATTATAGTTTTACAAAAATACTAGGTAATCAACGTTAAGACGTCACAGAATTATGTGAACAGGAATTATTCGAAATAGAGTTAATATTCTGTTAAATAGAATATTTCGTAGCAAATTTTAAAGAGGCTAGCTATTTTTATTACTGAAATTAAAATTCTGACAACTAGGAATAGACGGAAGAGTCTTGAATAGATATGGATATTTCTGAGTTACCGAAGGACCAAATTTGACGAACCACTTTTAGCACTGAATTCAATTTTAACGATTCATCAAGAGTAGGACGTATACATAGTAAGATCATTCTGTTGTGTAAATAACGCAAATGAGTTAAATGAAATTATCGTACATTCAGGTAAATGATCATCGTGTTACTTTGCGATACTTGAAGAATAAAGTGCGATGCAACAATACGTATCTGTATTCATCGTGCATTACCATACACTATTACGTTTCGTTAGATGTTATCTTCGACGAGGAGGCGAAGAATAATTAGCTGAACTTTAATCTCAACATTTCATCGAGCTATAGATCATTGACCGATTACAATATAGCAGTAAGCAGTACTATCATTATATGCACTTAATCTTTCGTTCTTTATATTTCGTACTCGGATCAAATGATAAATTTAGCCTTGTCCTATCCAACGTACAACTAATAGTAACCAGCTCTCGACGTATCAGTGGTTCACTGTTTCAAATATAAATCGCGTTTAGTAAATTTAACTTTCCTCCGTTACAAACCAGGCCATAATATTTGACAGATACGTCCTAGTAGTTTCGTAAATGTCAGCCATTCGACTCTTTCCTTGCTATGTAATTTCTTCATATTTTCTTCGCGGATAGACCACTTCCGTGCTTCGACCGTATTTTCTTATCGTAAATCAGTAAATTTATCAAACTTTTACAAATGCACCTTCATGTGCAACGAAAATCCAGAACATGCGATTTCTTGCGAATTTCGTAATGGTCTCCTGTATCGCTATCAAATTATAAACAGATTATAATATTTCGTTCTGTGACAGTAATTGCAGAAAGTATCAATACCACCTATCGTTGTTATGGCATTTACGTATTAACTAATCGGATCTAAGTACATTAAATTTCATATCGCTTAGTAGTGTTTTTATATGACTACAAGAATTTATTAATAGCATTTACATACTAATTAATTATTAGGTCCAAATAGACACAGTGAATTTAGTATCATGATTTAAATAATGCTTTTATATTATTACGCTGATTTTATGAAATTCTATGAAATAGAATTATTCTATGAAAATGTACAACCTGCTAAAAAAAAATACTTCATTTGAAAATAAGAAGAAGTATGCAAATACTTTTCGTAGCCAGCGTATAATATTTTAATTTAATGTGGGAAATCAAAAGTGGGAAATCGATGTTACGTTAACATTCAGCATTAAGAATGAGTGAAAAATTACATTTAATTGAATGAAGATTGAAAATTAATAGAGCAAAGCTATTTATCCATTTGCTAATTTCCTCTGTCATATTATCAAATGTCGAAAAGAAGGGACGGCATTCCATCAGCCGTAACGTTCGTTCCATTTGTTATTCGCTAACAGTGGAGTGCAGAAGGATGCGAAAGGTCACACGCCAACCAGATGGACAGCTGATAGAGGCTCGACCTGGCTTCTTTCCTCGTAAAATGGGTTAGAAGCCATTCGTGCGATCAGGAAGTGACGCTGCGGTTGAGGCCGCATCGGCACGATATTTGAAGCTTCTTCCTCAACGTGTGACTTTAATCTCGTAAAATGGCCAGGAGAGCCTCGAACCTTGCTCTTTTTCACGTGACCGCACTTATTATAATCTGTCTCATTAAGATATTGTCCAAACAGAAGTGATTCTATTGGCGCGTATATCTTGTGCTTTAAAATAACAAATTTAGGAAGTAAACGATAGGAATTTAGTAGAGGAATAGGATAAATAAGTAGATAAATGGAACGAGGAAATGTAAATGTATTATCATAAGTTACAGTATGTAACGAATTGTAATTATAAATTACCATAAAAGACTATTTAACATTTCCGGAAATTTTTAAAACTAAAACAAAAATTATGAAATTTGTTAAAATATTTTTTTACTTACAGCTCTCTACAAAAACAGTCAAAGTAATTTAAAAAGTGTTATATAAATTACACGTTATATCTAAGCTGCATCGAATTGTTTCCATAAAAATTGGCATCGAAACTGGCAGACTTAGTTTAATAAGCACAATAGAACAATAGATATTCCATTCTATCACGCTGAAATATTTCAATATCAATTTCTTAATTAATTATATTGTTTCGTATCTCTGCTTTATACTATACATAATCTTCCCTCCTAAACACTAC